TTAGTGCAGCACAAAGATATCAACAAATTAGGTGCAGCACAAAGATATCAACAAATTAGTCAGCACAAAGATATCAACAAATTAGATCAGCACAAAGATATCAACAAATTAGGTGCAGCAAAAAGATATCAACAAATTAGATGCAGTGGAAAGATATCTTTTAATTTTACATTTAGATATATTGATGATGTTCTTTCCATCAACAATCCTAACTTTTGTGATTCGCTCCCATTGATATATCCCACAGAACTAGACATTAAAGAAACTATAGAATCAGCTTCCTCGGCCTCATACCTTGACATTTACCTCAAATTTGACAACAATGGTCATCTTTCTACCAGACTTTATGACAAAGGAGACGATTTTAATTTCATTATCATCAATTTTCCAAATTATGATTTTTTACAACAACATCTTCTTCTCAAGGGTTTATACATGTAAGAGAAAGACTAAACTTGCCATTTAAAAAGTTCTATGGCAAGTATCATCAGCTGGTGGACAAGTATCATGTTTCTATGAAACAGATGGTAATAGAAGTGATGGATGTCAATAGATTATTTTCCGTACAATTGTGAGATCTCGCGAGATGCATGAAAGACGTGCGTCGAACGTCTGCCGCAAAAAACGATTTTGAATTTGAATTTCTTTATTTCGTAGCTCACACCGACCGGCCGATCTTCGACAGGAATATTGTGGACAGCACATTATTAAGCATGAAAATGTTCCCCAAAATAATTTCGTGTTTGTCAAATCCCACGCGATGTTTGACGCCACTCCGATCTTTGTTTGTCCTGTTTTTACGTTGATTTCACACATAACGCGTGATTCTCGCAGTGAACAGAAAATGGTCTTTTGTCTTGCACGAGGATGACCTAAAATTCACGATTGTGACTCAGAGAGATATATACATGTTTGTAGCGGGTGCCACATGTGGAGCAGGATGTGCTCATTCTTTTTGAAACACCTGACATCACCTCGTGGCTTGTGCCTTGAAGTCCATGTATCTCTTTCACCGATTTGACAGTGTGTTGTTTGTTTTGTTTGTGTGTTCTCGGATTTGTAAGTTTTGCCTTTTGACATTGATTGTTTGGATTATAGTTGGGTATTGCTGCTTGGATTTTTTTTTTGTAATAGAGACAGAATATTTAATAGTTCAAATATTTAGTAGTTTGCTAATTTGTTAATAACTTGTTTTCTACAATGGTGCAAAACTGATAACAATAAGGACCATGTTTATAAATTCACTTGTAAGCTTAGAAACAAATTACAGATTGAAGTATTGAATATCTGAAACATTTTTGTAAATGACTGTAAAATAACCAACTTATTACCAAACCGTTAAAAAATGGTTTCTGAAATCAGGACTGAAACTTTACCTGTTGTTTGGGAAGAAGACTTCCTCTTCAGCATCTTGTGCTTCCTTGATAACCACATCACTTAAAAACCATCCTTGGCCAGGCTCCTTCCCATGATGACCAACGACAACCTTCTTCAACTCACCAAGATGAACTGCTTCAATTTCAAAAATATCTTTTTGTCCTTTCTGAAACTTTATCTCATTGTTGAGTGATTTGTAGAGGACTCTGTTTCCAGTGTCTCCCCTTTCACCATAGATACACATGTAACATGTGGCTTCTGTGTCAGCATTTTCTTCTGTACCAGTGTTGACTTCAATGTGGTACTTGAGAACTACAGAATATTTTAGTAAAAGCGAGTTAACATGATGCATTATAACATAATCAGAGAAGAAGCAAAAAAAATTAAACATAATCATTACAATGTAAAAGCCTTATGCACAACGCCTAAAATTCACACACCCTGCCATTTTCTGGAGTATTGTTGTCTACATAGCTTCACCATGACTAGGACTGATCCTCACAAAAATTAGAGAAGGGTTGGCAGAAAATGTACATTTGTAAAATTACTCAAATAAATAAAACTAATCAAGGAAGTATATCTCACCCGGCAAAATGTCTTCTCCTTCCCTGATAGCAGGGAATTCCCTGACAATTTCCAGATCATCCTCTGTTCTGGACATCCATCTGTCAAACTGATATTCTAAAATCTCCCCAGTCTTTCTTTCTCTCATTTTAACTTTTTCTAGATGCCATCCATCCCAGTCAGCCCCATGGTCATATCCTATGCGAATCTTGAAGATTTTACCAATATCCTTGACTTTAATCTGTAAAGGAATATTTTAAGAGATGAAAAGATTTGCACCTAAAAGCAATGGTAGGTTCAAATTAATTTTTTAATATTTGTATCAACATTTGTAAACACTGTGTCTAGGATAAATGTAGATAAGAACATAGTTTATGCAAATGTCAAAAAAAAAATTGTTGTGTGCCCGCCTTCATGTAGTAGACATTGCGAAGATACAAGTAAAAAAAAAAATGTTTCATTACAACAGGAAATCTGAAAGTTTGTAGTATGCCTAAATACATTGTATAAGCAGGCAGTCAATCACATTGTTTCAAATTTATTCTATGGACTTTTCATTTGACGACATGAAAATTTATTTAAATGTCTCCCTCATGTCAAGTAGGCTATGAAGAAAATATTCTTCAATTCTTTGTATACAAGAATTAATATAATTACATATTACAAGTGGCATCATACTACAAGAAGTGAATTCAAACAGTGACATCATATTAACCACAAGTAACATAATATTACAGGAAGCAACATCATATTCACAGGAAGTGACATCATGTACTTAATACAAGAAGCAACATCATATTACCAGGAAGCGCCATCATATATGTATTATAGGAAGTGACATAGCAGAGATAAACCTACATCTTCCTCATCAGTTGTGCCTGCT